TTCGAGCTATCGAATATAATGATGACATTTCATCAACTTTGTCTACACCACCTTTTGTTGCATTATAAAATTGAATTATTTCTGGTTTCTTGGTTCATCAATAGCATCATCGCGATGCATTGTAGATAACAAAACTACACATTTTGATTTTTTAGGCATATACGATACTAGTGTCACATTCTTTTGGAACCCAAATATAGAAGAATGAACTTTCCTAGCTTTTGTTTGGACGAACTCATTGGGAATTTCAGCCTTTTTTCTGTTCAGGCTTCCTACAATAGTTAGCCTATTTGACAAACATTCTTTAGCTAGAGGATAACTCGTATACCAATTATCCATTGTTACGTTTCTGCCTGATCCAAACAAAGGGGTGCACAGGAGTTTTGTAATTTCAAATGGTGAATTTTCAATTCTAAAGGGACCTTCCGGTGTTGTCCTGCATAAATCTCCATGTTATAGCTGTAAAATGTTCTTGAATCTACTAAAGCAAATATTTTTATTCCATATTTCGCTGGTTTGCTAGGTATATATTGACGAAAGGAACACCGGCCTCGAAATTTCTCTAATTTTTCGTCGATAGTAACATATTCACCAATAATGTATATCTTTTGGCAATTTTCGTTGAAATCGGCAAAAAATACTCTCACAGCCACCAGTTTGTCCAATTTTTTGCAAGCTTCACGATTGGTAACATTGTCTAACCATAAAGACCTGAGAAGAAAATTAAATCTTTTATATGACATTGCGTTCTGAAAAATTTCAATGCGTGATCCATCAGTAGCCCACAAATCTTGCTTGTGATGTGACAATTTATGCAAGCCACACAGATATAAAAGCATGAAAAGTGCTCTAATTTCCACATTATTTGTCGTTTTGGCATCTCGATCTCTGGTGTAATTTACTGATATTTTTTCAATATAATTATTTGTACACTCTACAATTAATCGTATCATTTTAGCATTGAAAAACAATTCCCAACTTTCTAGAGGCTCCGTTATATCGCGTGCTGTTCCTTTTAATCCTGGTAAATGAGTTATTATATTTTGAGAAGACGTTTTCAATTTTTATTTGGTTTTCCTTTCTGCCAAACTGTGTTATTTTTGCTAATAAAAATACTTTTTACTAAATCAGGATTTCTGTCGTCTTCATCATTCTGCTCAAATTCACTTTTCCTATCGTGAGAACTGTATATTTCTTCATCAGATTCATTTTCACTATCTTGATCAATTTCTTCTTCAGAAGACACAACTTCATCTAATAGAGTTCTCAAACGTTCCATCTCTTTTTCATATTCGGTAAATTTACATTTGTAAGCCATTATTTATCAAATAATCGAACAGACCAACAATGGAAACACTCGAGAGCACGAAGCTAAACTGCTGCTAATGAAAAATTTCGAAGCAGTAACGGTCGCACGGGGTGACTGAGTCACCCCATTCCCTCATTGATTCCAAGAAATGATTGCTTCTCTCGCAGAAAAGAAAAATAAGCAAAAATAACAATACACATTCCAAGAGGAGTGTCAGACAGGAGGATACTAGAAGGATGATTCATTATCATGAAATATTTCCGGTCAGGATTGTTGATTTTTGACGCATGGGGTGACTCTGTGCCCTGTGCGACTTCTCCCGTGTTAAATAGTCTAAAAGGAGAAAGGTTTTTAAAGTGAGTTAAAAAAACTGTTTAAGAAATTCAGTGGAATGAAAGAGGGCAAGTTCTTTAGCAAAGCATTGCTGTTAAATATCCTATAATTGTTAAATTGCAAATATATCATTGCTTATTTTTCTAAAATGAAAATAAAAAAAATATAAATATTAATTTTTAACTGCTTGCCTGATTATCGTGTGTTTGTATATATTGCAATTAATTATTATCCCGAGAAAACTTGGGCGAAGCACAATTTGTCAGTATGATTTGTTTTATCATGGTTTTACTCGGCCTGGAGGAAATGAAAGGAAATATTCGGCTTTTATTGGCAGTTTGCCAAATTTTGTTGGTTTCACGGTACTTTTGGTGGGACTGGTCATGTGTTTTCCCTGTCGTCTAGTATACATTGGTTTGTGGATTAGTAACGTATAAAGAATGATAGTTGCGTTGAAAAAAAGTAAAATAATGGCAATGATGCAAGATAGCGAAAGCGATGATTTTTCAGATAGTGATTATAACCTCAAGGCATTTTCCAGATGTTATTCCTGCTACTGGAAAAAAATCAAATCCAATGAGACAGTGCCTCTGTGCTCCCGTAAGATAGATTCCAGAGGTAAGCCAGTAAGAAAGGAGACCAGATACCAGTGTATAGAATGTCAGATATCACTTTGTGTTGTCTCTTGTTTCAAAAACTATCATACACTAAATATTTATTTTTTTTTTTTATTTGCCTGAGATAACTCTGGATAGTAAACTAATATTAAAACTCAATGCTTTTACACTCATAAAAAATTAAAAAATTCAACTTAAAACCTATATATTTTGTTTCGTTTTGTTTTCTTGTATTTAATAATAAAAATAAAAAAAAAAAAAAAAAAAATGGGATGATTTTTTGCAATTTTTTCAAAAAAATTTGTAAGGGAAGCGGATAAATGCTGATGAGTGACCATAGTTCATATATTTATATAGTTTTAGTTATATCACAGATATTATACAGCTGCTGCGTTAGTATCTGTTTTATGTATCAGAAATAAAAATGTTATGTGAGCTGATTTAAAATATCTTTAAAAAGCAGTTTATATAAATGCAGTCGCAATTAAAATTTAGTTTAGGGCTCAAAGGTCCCGAAATTTGAAATTTAGTATCTCGAAGAATTTTAACTCATGAACCCCCATATATATATATATATATATATATATATATATATATATATATATATATATATATATTCACTACCCAACATTGAAAATGCAACACCATGAAGGCATGTCCAGTAAGTGATGAAACTCGGCAAAGCGATACATAAAGCAACACATCTAAGTACAGAGTTAATGAGACTACGGATGTTGTCCTGAGGAATGACTTTCTGTCAACCAATTGCCACAGTTTGTCTGCTGAATCCGGCAGTGGGAGGCTCTGCAAATGACGTCCAATCACATCCGAAATGTGTGCGATTGGTGAAAGATCAGAAGAGAATGCTGGCCAGGGAAGCAGCTGAACAGCTTGCAGAGCACGTTGGTTGATGCGTGCTGTATGTGGTCGGGCATTCTCCTGCTGATAAAGGGCACTATGCATTCCCTGAAGGGGAGTGTCACTGGCTGAAGCACATCATCCATGTATCATTGGGCCATCATAGTGCCCTGAATATGAACTAGAGGTAACCTGAAATCATACGCAATTGCGCTCCAAACCATGATGCCGCATTGTCGCGTGGTGGGGTGTTCCACAATGGCTGCAGATTAGACTTGTCTGTACGTTCACGCCACACTTATACGCGGAGACTATAATTGGAGAAAGAGAAGCGTGACTCATCTGAAAACATGACCCTGAGCCATTTCATTGTCCACATTGCTCATGCCTTGCATCATTGCAGATGTTGGCGTTTATGATGTGTGGTCAATGATAGTCTTCTTAACAGATGCCAGGAGGGCAGGCCACTAGCCACCAATCGATGGCGAATGGTTCTTGTCTTGAGCATGCTGTGGAATGGCTTGCGGATGCATCACCACTTGTCAGCAGATGCGTCGATCTATGCATGGTGATGCCACTGTGGGTGCACTGTGATCTATGCACCCTTTGACTTTCCACATTTCCTTGTTCCAACCCTCCATTACCACATCTGGTGCTCTATGGATGCATCCAGGTGTGTGTCAGCTGAGATTTGCTGTATGGACCAACCTGCCCTTCTCAGTCCGATCATCATGCCCCTCGTAAAATCATCTGTCTGCTGGAACTTCCTCCATTGAAGACAGTCTGGAATTCTCTGCTATTACATGCATCCTCTGAGACAAGAACACATTTTGTGTGATGATTTCCCTAGCAGTAATAACGGCATGAAAAACTGAACATTCTGCTAGTTTCTTCCTTTATATCTCCCTCTTTGTGCATTGGAGAGCTGTTCATTTCACATCATTTGCATAACTCAGTGATGTGTGTCTACTGTGAAATTCATATAAGTTTTCGGTCACTCCCTCTTTGTGTTGCATTTTCAATGTCGGGTAGTATATATGAGATGTAGTTTAGTGGTTTTCAGTTATTGTACGTTACACTTTAGTCGTGATCAAAGTGGTAATAGATGTGATGCACAGTGCAAATGTCATACATAATAGTTGTCATGAGCACTTAGATGAACCATAAAGTACTTGTATAAGCACAATATATCTTTATTGTTTGACAATTACACTCTTCAAACATCATATTGAGTAACAGAACATAATGGGGGCAATCTGGTCATCAAAATTTTTAAATATGCATAATTTACCGAAGCAGCAGTAGGTGAGGAAAACGTAATGAGTACTAACTGCTGTCATGTTTATAAACCAGAAAATCTGTTTTAATCCTGAGCAGCAGACCTAAAGATTTTGCAGTGCAGAGAAATTGTAGGGAAAGTGTGACATGACATGCTTCAGAGTGATGGAAAAGGGTGCAAAGCATATCATTGAAGCAGGGATGTGTTTAATTAAAATTTATGAATTTGTATGTTTATTAGTGATTTTGTTTCATATTTTACTATATTTAAGGTATCAGTGTAAAAGTTTGCTAAATATAACTATAGTAAACAGCTGAACTTATAAAAAGTGAAGTTTTAAAATTCTTACAAAATTTGTTTCTTCAATTAAAAAATGCCAAAATATGAATATTTGGCTCGTTTAAAATATTTCTGTAATTGAGAGTGTATGTGTGCAACTAATAATTTTGAAAATAAGGGCCTTATGAGAACATAAATAGATGCAGTATTTATTGGAAGAATATTTGAATGTTTTCCATATGCTTGTGCTTACATAATGTAATATGTAACTTTTTTCCCCCCTTCAAAGCATAGTAAACTTCAAAAATGAAATTTTTCTTGTTAGGAAATTATGCAAATATCTGATACAACATCTGTGAGCCATCCAACAAGAAATTATATAGATTTAATACTAGATAAGGTAAGTAATTGATCTTAATTTTAGGATTTCATTTTTTGCTTTTGCCTCTTTGTCTCTCCCACAGTGTATATTAGGCTAAAGTAAATGAAATATTCGCTTTTATTTAGAATTTCTGTGTACCTTCTAAGCTAAAGTAGGATATTCAAAGGATAGGAATTTTGGATGTCAAAACATTGCTATATAACTCACATACATGCTGTACTTAACAATTTTTTTGTTGGCTCACTATTGCTGAGCTATTTGAAGATGAAACATGTGGAAATCCTTATATATATATAAAAGAATAAAAACAAAATAAAAAGCACATTAAAACCTAATCCATTTGCATGCTGAAAGCAGGAACAATAGGTGGTAATTATGAAAAATAAATTTATATGCATAATACATTTAAAATTCATCCCGTATTCAAATCAGAATGAATATATGAAAAAAAAAAAAAAAAAAAGCACTCACTCTCTCAACTTGCAAGAAAAAGGGGGGGGGTTGTCAAAACCAAAAGTGAATAAAGAACTTTGTATCTTTCAATGCATTGGCATTAAGGGTTTGGTGCAATGAAAGAAGTAATTGAATCAGACTGTTTCTGAACCAACAAGGACAAACAGTAAAGTTTAAAATTTAAAATAATCTCAGAAAAACTATTAAAGTAATCTGTATCATCACCAGTTTAACCCCTACCGGCCAAAGAACGCAGTGTAAAAAATTACAAAATTTTCACATCAATAACAAGCAAATTTTTAAAGTATTGTTTAAAGCACACCAAGTCCACAAAACAAAACATGCAAATATAAATAATCTAAAACATAAAAAATTATAAATATATGTAAATTTTGAACCCATGCAGGTCAAGTTAAATTTTTTTTAATGAAAAGTCATAGCAACAAATCATAAACAAGCAAAAATATTTAAAAATCTAATAATTATAATTTTAATTTAAGTGGACCAAGTCTGAAAAACATGCAAAATAAAAGTAATCCAACATATGACAGCGTAGACTAAAAAAAAAAATAAAAGTAAAAATAATAAATAAAAAGAATAGCTAGTTTTTAAAAGTGTAACATTAGTGTAACAAAAGTTTTGAAACAAAAAGATATATATTCATTTTGTTTGATATCAAAATACTGTTGCCAAGCCTATAATGTGAAAAGTAGTGGATTTAGATAAATTACAAATCTTAAACTGATTAATAATAAAGATAATTTAAAGAAACCTTCTGTGAAATATTAAATATAGTTAGCAAAAATTAATTATTTTATAAAATTGAAGAGAAAAAAAATCTTCGAATTACCTGATTACAATTCAAAAATTAGTTCAATACCTACTGTCATAAATTCTGTTTAAAATGAAGAATGAGTTCATTTCATTTCAGTGAATGGAACAAGTTGTAGTACTTAATTCAATTAAGCACTACTTAGTTGTAACATTTATTACCAAAATAATTAATTTTTTTTAATTCCGAGTTCTAGAAAGCTGCAATGAATTGTGTAAAAAATATTTGAAAAAGAAAAAAATTGTTTCTGTGAAGAATCTATAAATTTGAAGAAGCTAAAGAATTTTAGGAAAATGTGATCAATCGTAAAGAACACAAAAGAGGAATTTAACAAAAAAGTGTGGCACCTTGTATATTGATTGCCCTAATGGTGTACGTACAGTCTTCATGAAGAACATCAGTTTGGTGGTAAAAATTATTTTTAGATTGACAAATGTAGTTTGCTAGCTGTTTTTTGATGACATTATATGGAATTTTTTTATCTTTTAATATTTTAATAAATAACCTAAACTCTTTTGTAAAATCATTGCTGCTATTACAAATATTTTTGTTTCATTAATAGTAGTGTTAGCAGTTATTTCTCTGGATGCATTAGATTTCCAGTTAGTTAGTTTAATTGTATTGAAATTGAATAGTGTTCTTTTATCAAATAAAGTAATATTGTTGAGATTCTAAATTTATAGGTCAAAATAATCTTTGTAAATTATATTGCTTAATGAACAGCTTATTGATAACAGTTAAATAGTTAGTTTTCATAAGAATAGTGTTAATTTATAGACACATTTTATTTTCATATTTAATAAAATTCTTATCAGAATTCTTACATTAGTTTTAATTTAGAATAGAATGTTTAATAATTATCTATCTGTTTTATTAAAAAAAATGGTCCTACTTCAGCTTCCAAGTCTCGTGAAAGCCCACTTGAATGAGTTCTGTTTTCTGTAACATTTGGCATTTTTTTTAATTCTTTTTCTGTTTGTATTTTCATTTAGGTTGCCTATTACTTATAACATTTTTGCTAAATTTCCCTTTATCACATAGATCGAAAACATCCTCAGGACATTTTCCCTAACCTGCTAAACATATTCTTCCAAGTGCTTAATGTCACATCCCAGTACATCCTCATGACATCCTATCTGGATCCCATCGGTAGTAAATGGAATGTCATCAGGATTTAGAATTTAGTAAATGTTCTAGAAATAGCTAAGCCATTGAAAATATCATTCTCACTCTAAATAAATCTAAATAATTCTGATCTTGATCTAAATAAATGGAAAATAATCTTTTGCAATTTAAATCCAGTTTAAATCCTTTCTAAATCTCGGTCTAAATAAATGGAAAATATCTTTCCCAATCTAAATAAGTTTTAAAAAATGTCAGAAAAAAACAGAAATTAAGATTAATAATGAAATACGAATATTAACCTGGATATAATTGCTTTTCATTGGACAATATTTACAAATAAGTCTTAGCAAAATACGTATAAAAATCAAAGAATGTACAAATTTGAAAAGCCCAAACTGGTAGAATTGAGAACAAATATCACAAAAAGAAACACACATAAAAAAAAAAATCATAAAAGTGAAAAAACAACCTGTGTTAAGCATAGATTTTTAGCATAGAAGCTCTATTGATTTCAAGGGTGAGTTCTCCTGATGAAGAGGGACTTTGTTTGCCTTCAAAATCATTAAGGGCCGTTCCCTTTGGAGTTCATTTGAGCTAACAAACACAAATGACATAGCCGACCCATCTCCAAAACCAGTTTTTTTCCCATAGGGTAGCAATTTGAAAAATCTGAATTGCAGGCACAGCGGAGCTAGTCGACACATGGAACTGACTCTGTTAGCTCAGATAAACACCAGTGGGAATAGTCCTTTAGAGTTTCTAAGCTAAAAATCTATGCTTAACACAGGTTTCTGCTTCACTTTTATGATTATCCTCAGAATGTGTGACCATGGAAGTCCTCCAGAAAATGCAGTATCGAACATCTTCAGGATGTGAAATTGACAAAGCCTAGGGGAGGCCCTCACATATTCCAGGACAGTGTTTTAAGTGAGACATACTCAGGATGTTAATTTATGTTGTCCTCAGGACATTTGAGAATTGACGTACTTAGGATATTCTAAGTTTGTCCCAAAATGTTGCAATTTTAATTGGATATTCTGTGCTATGGGTCTTTCGATTCTCTTATGATTGTGCATCTGCCTTACAATTTTTTTAGCTTCTTCAAATTTATACATTCTTTATAAGAATAATTATTAACTTTTTCAGAAATTTTTTATACAATGCTCTACAACTTTCTTGAATGCTGAATTTCAGAGATTTAATTATTTTGGTATTAAACATTACAACTTGTACCATTTGTTGAACTGAAGCAAATTTATTCTTCATTTTGATTTGAATTTATGGTGGTTAATATTAAACATCTTTTTGGACTATTCAGATAATTCGATGATTTTTTCCTTTGTCATTCAAATTCATTTTTGTTACATCACATTTATTACAGCAGTGGCAGGTTTCTGTAATTATTTTTATTATTAAATCTGTTTAAAATTCATAGCTTAATTAAATCCTTTACTTTGCACCTTATTGGCTTGGCAACAGTATTTAGCTACAAAACAAAACGGATATATATTTTGTGTTTCAAAACTTTTATTGTGTTAATGTTACACTTTTAGATCTAGCTCTTTTTTTTATTTCTTATTTTTATTTCTATAATTTTAGTTCTAATCATCATATGTTGAATTACTTCTGTTTTACTTGTTTTTTGGGCCTGGTCGACTTAAACTGAAATCATTATTAGACTTGTAAGCATTTTTGCTTGTTTATGATTTTGTTGCTATAAAAAAACTTTTAGTTATTAACTAAAGCTTTGTTTAGTCTAAAAGTTTTAAACTCAATTTGTATGGCTCCAAAAACATTTGACATGTTTTGCACTCTTTTTATAGCAGTTTGCCATTGTGCTTCTAATTTTTTGTGTTTTGCATGTGTTTATTTCGAATTGAATATGGAATAAATTTTAAATGTGTCATTCATAGATCATCAATTTAAATCTGCTATAAAAAACTTTTATAGCAGCTTAAGTTTTGTTTAGTCTAAAAGTTTTAAACTCAATTTGTATGGCTCCAAAAACATTTGGCATGTTTTGCACTCTTTTTATAGCAGTTTGCCATTGCTATAAAAAGTTCTAATTTTTTGTTTTTTGCATGTGTTTATTTCGAATTGAATATGGAATAAATTTTAAATGTGTCATTCATAGATCATTAATTTAAATCTGGTAAGATGGCATGCAGAAATTATACAATTAAAAATATGAAATTGTAATTTATGAAATAAAGAGCAATTATGATCTAAAGGGTATCAAAATTTACAAAAAAGAAGCTTAATATTTATTTGTTTACTTTATTAAACATTTCTTTCAATGTAAGTTGCTTCGTTTTTTGTGGATGCATAAATATTAAACCCGCATGCGTATCATTAAACGCCCATGCGTAAAGCATACCAAAAGAAAAGTTTGTGGCTTTGAGGTCCGCCTTATAGATCATTTCGTATAACGGACATCCGGATTACAGACTTTGTACTGTAGTTATTAAGAGCTAATGAATGGATGAACCTTTAAAACTGCAAGTGGACCCTGCAGGTAACAAGGCATCATGTAGGGGCAGCCACTTATTGATGAAATTAATCGAAGCAGTGTTTTTTTGTAACCATTCAGCCCAAATGGCAATAGACAGAGACATTTATAAATCTCTTTGGGTGCTTCTTTATTATAGCAACCTCCAAGATTAAATCGTTAATTAACCGAGATATCTTGCCAAAATCTCGCAACATATTCATACACCTCGCTACATGTTACATTTTTGCTGTCACCATATGTTGTTATGTTGTTTTTCATTTTTGTTAAGCAAGGCCCACCAGCGGCCGAGCGGTAAAGTCGCTGAACACTGGTAGTTCAGTCCGAGGTTCGAATCCTGCGAACGGGCTGGCTGCATGGGCGTTTTCGTGGTTTTCCCCATGTGTAACGTGTATACGAGCCAGTTTCCCTTAGAAAGTCCTCCACGAAGACATCCCTCCTCTTAGGCAGATAGCCCTCGAGGCTTTGCCGTTAATCACACACATTTTTGTTAAGCATTTCAAATTTGCATTATGTTTTTTAAAATGTTTCTTGCTTGTTTGTGAATATATAATTAACAATCTTTAACTTACCAAATAAAGAGGTGGCTGCTATATCACTTTTTCAAGAAAGAGGTCTTTGACCTGACAGGGAAGTATATAAAAATGACCACAACATGAAACTATATGCTGATGCCAAAACTATTTGGGGATGCAATGTTAAAAGCTGTAAAAGAGAGAAAGGCCTCCGATTTGGAAATTGTCTCTGTGGTTTAAAAATATCATTCATCACTTCTACTAGATTTATGTATTCTTGGGCAAGAGTGATGACATCCATAAAATGATGTGAGAAGCAACTTAATACATTTAAAAATGCTGCAGTTGATTGGAACAATTACATGAAGAAAATGCATTCCCACAGCAGTGGTTTTTTGGAGGAATATGCCGGAAAGATGGTGAGTGTGTTGTCGTTCAGATCTCGAACAAAGATGCTAGTACATTTAAAGAGAAAATTATTCAACATGTACGAGATGGATCAGTGATCTATTCAGACTGCTGGAAGGGATATAAAACAAAGCAAATTGAAGAAGATGGTTACAGTCACTTTACTGTGCGTCGTAAGTAAAATGTTTTAGATCCAAGAATGGATGTTTACACCCAAAATGTGGGGGTTTAGTCAAGTGACGTAATAAAAAAAAGGCATGTTCAATATCACCTTGAATCATATTTGGAATTTATGTGCAGAAAGTACACAGGAAAAAATTATGTTTTCCTTGAATTGTTGAGAACTGTTTTTGAAATATGGCCTTTTCATAATGAGTATTAAAAATATTGTTAAGAAACAACATGTGAATATTATTGTTATTATTGTATATTGTGTTATTGTTAATTATTTATCTTCATGAGCTCACAAAATATCTCGTCCGGTTAGTGATTCAATCTTGGGGGATGCTATGATAAGGAAGTACGTCTCTTTGTTACGAAGAAATTTATTTTAATTCCTAGTAAGCTGAAGACAGTGTAGTTCTGGGAAAATATGATGTCTAATGAAAGCATTATACCATAATTTCTGGTAGATAAGCTTCTACATGTTCAAAAGTTGAAAATTTAGGTCTGCAGTGTTTCTGAAGAAATTTTATTTTTGCTCTGGCTTTAGAACTTCTCTAGTTTAGATCGTGAGTTAGGCACAATCAAAATAGTTAATGTAAAATTCATTGCGATATTTTAGCCTTTGGGTTGCGGGAAGGCAGTACAAGTTCTAACTCTCGTGAAATTGTCTAACAACAGCTTGGTGTAAAGACACCATAATGCATATTCTATAGAAATCTAGTTTTCTCTGTGTTTTTCCGATGACCATCACTTTTTAATAGCCACAGAAACTTAAATTTGTCCAAGTTCTTTGTTCATTCTTCCATGTGTTTTCCTGCTTTGTGATTGCTTACTTGTTTCATTACTTTCTTTATCGCTCATGCTTGTTGAATTTTTAAAAATATTATTATAAGTATGGCTTCTACTTGAAGAAAATATTATATAGCTGATTTTGAAGTTTCAACAGTGAGAAAAGCGATAGAAATAAGGCTGCAGCTGGAGAATTTTAAGTTAACGAGAAATGCATTTGGCAGTGGAAGTCTGAACAAGAACAATTTAAAGAAAATGCCTAAGTTTAAAAGGTCTTTTTGGACTGGCATCATAGTGTGGCCTGTTTTTGGAAAACAATTTAGAGGAATGGACAATAGAGCAGAGAAGAAAGGGTCAGTATCAACAGTTAGAATTCACACTCAAACAAAAGTATCTGCTTAACAAATGGGCATTAAAAATTTTGTTTGGAGGACTTGATTGGTGTTTCAAGTTTGTGAAATGAAAGAAACTATCCATCAGAACCAAAAAGCAGTTAGACAGAAGCTTTCCATGGACTGGCTTTGAAAAGAAAAGTAGCTTTTTTTGTAGTACAGATCTAAGAAAATTAAAGAACAGAATTTGGATAGAGGGGAATTTATTAATATGGTTAAAGTGCTGCTTACTTTTGACTGCCCTGAGCAGAACTGTTCATTCAACAGATAAAAAAACTATTTCTGTGTTAACAACCGGGAATGAAAAGACTTCTTTTTACTTGTGTTTTGAGTTATATAACCACTATAAAGAAGTTTACTGCTTTGATGATTTTCAAAAGAAAAACAGTTTAAAGGGGTCATTATTTACACCAATGAAAAGGTTGGATGTGTTAACAAGTGATGCTGTGTTGGGTGAAACTGATTGAAGAAGGAAAGTTGTTTTCTCCAACCTCGAAGGTTCATCGTTCCCGATTCAGTGCAGTCCCATTTAATGGATATGATAAAATCCAGAAGCTTAGCACTGATGCCTGAATCATACCAGGGTAGGCATACAAAACTTTTACAGCTACTGGATCTCAACATCAATAGAATTTTCAGCAGTGGGAGGAATGAATAGGAAATGGACTCCATTCCTTCACATATTCTGGAGGGATGAGAAAAGCTTCATGTGAGGAGGCTGCCGTGTGGATCGATAAAGCATAGGAATCACTCTGAGCTGATACGATCATATTAGCTTATACCAGAAATTATTGAAAAAAGTGGACAATGTTGTTTAAAGATGTGATTTAGAACATAATTATTAACGTGATCTTGATGGTCATTTGTTAAATTTATTTAATTCTGACATTGATGAATCAGTTTTGAAGGTTTTGTTAAATAAATGTACTTTAATTATAAAATTTTGTTTGATTACCCAGTTTACATATTCTTTTTCTTAATATGGTAATTTATAGTGATGAACAAAGTTTGCAGAACCTGTAAAAATAACATCAATTAGAAATCAGTAGAGTTTGTTTTGCCAAATTTAGTGTAAGATGTTTATTCTTTATTAATAGATTTATTACCTATCACAATTATGTTATAAATGTAATAAAATGTTTTCAATGATGATTACATCAGTATAGAAGGGAATTACTGAATAAATGAATATTAAGTGCCATGTTTTGTAATGCTTTGCTGTGGCATATATATGGCAGTGCAGCTTACCTGATGAACTTGTTTTTTTTTTTTGTTAGTTATCATGCGATGCATACTGCAGGGTGGCTTATCTCTCAAAAATTACGGTACATTGATGGTTTTTAAATTCTCAAAAGATTATGGCTTTGGCAAATCAACTACATGATCAGCAACTTTTTATCAAATTGAAACTGCAAAATTCAGTTGATGTGTTTTAAATTAATGCATTGGTAGGAGCTAAATTGAATTGCACGTTCTGAAATTGGGTCAGCCACTTTGAATAACCTAATGTATAATTTTTCATTCTTTTGTAAAGCATGAAAGCCTAAGTAAATTTATAATACATAATATCACTTTCCCATGTTATATTTGATGATATTACTTACCATGATTCTGCATTAATGAGTTTTATTATCCAAATGATTTAGTTTCCAGAGGACAAGAAGACTTCCATTCAGATGAGAAGGCCAAGAGAGGATAATCGATATTCTGTTGATGGCATAAGTGAGAAAAAGCTTGCAAAATTGCACAAAAAGGTTATTTGTTTATTAGGCTTTTAAAACAATTTTAAAATCTTTACATTGTATATTTTAATGTGTCATTTCTTTAAAATATTATTGAGATTCATTCTTGCCATTAAAGTACTTATGTATTTCTGTCAGGACTTCATTAGTAATTAGTTGATTTCTTATGTAAATTTTGCTTTTATGTAATGATATGCATATTTTTTAAAACTTAGCATGATCAGTGTAACATCATAACTCCCAAAGGAAAAACTTAAAAATGATTAGCAGTAAAATAAAAAGGGTACGTTTTTATTATTCAACACCCTAACCAAAATATCGTGAACTTGTTACCAACATTACAGAACATTAATGTGCAAAAGCAAATATAATAGAGTATGAATGAATGGCAATCATGAATTCTTATTGTGCCTGCATTTAGACATCTGCCCTTTTGAAAATGGTAGTACTCTAAGAATAATCAATCAATACAATTGCAAAAGCAAGAACTATTGACTATAAAACACTAAATGTTTGTGAGAAATCCATCTTTTTTGAACTGTTGTTCTTCCCATGTACTTCTTCAATTGCACTACAGCCTATCACAGGCCAAGGCCATCTCAAGCTTCCTCCAATGGATCTGATTGGTCGCTACAGTCCGCCAGTGATTGATTTTTACAATCTCGAGATCTGCTTTCACATAGTCTATCCATCTTGTGTGAATTCTTCTGCGTTTGCTAGTTCGCTCTACACCTTTCGCAAAGATCACCTTGTTAACAGGGTCCAAGTTGTCATATCTAAAAATATGTCTAAACCACCGGATTCTATCCATGTACACAGCCATATATTTTCGCTTAAAAAAGTCAGAGAATTGCATGAACTTAGCATTGTGCATCAGGTAAAACAGACACATGCTAAGTGCATACCTGGGTTGCTGTATAAATACACTTCGCACCGTCATGGGTTGCCATATATAGAGGGTGTTTACACATTTTTGTAACGATTTTGGTTTTCTCCATGAATTTAAATATTAATTTAAAAATACATACATGACTGGCATCAAATTGGAATAAGGTTTAATTATCATCTGTAGCATTAAAAATATTCTTTAATTTAAAATGTCACTGAAAAATAAACAATGGATAGAAGGCTATATTTTTGTGCTATGTGAAGAGAAATACTCATATTCAATTATTAAAAAAAAGATATAAAAAGCATGATTTTAATATTTCTACATGTAAAATAAGTGACATATTTAATATGAAAGAAAGAAATGTCAAAGCTTACATCTGACTGGAAAAAAGGCAAAAAATGCATACACAAGAAAAGTACATACAGCTGTTATTAAAACTAAACTCTCATCTCATATTTTAAAGGAATTCTAGCCCCCCAAAGAACTATTGCAAAATCTTTAAACAGGGTTGCCACGCTACCTGGGAAACCAGGAAAAGTCAGGGAATTCAAAATTTGACCAAAAAATTCAGGGAAAAGTCAGGGAATTTATATATTTTAGTCAAAATCTGCAAAAATCAGGGAATTTCATATGGCGATCACCCCAAAAAAGTGAGTTTTGCGCCAACATTGGAAGCAATCACTTTCTTGACGAATTGCGTATTGCGTGAGCGTCATTCGGGCAGCTGGCATATAGCCAATTTTCGCAGCTGCAGTTAGAATGTCTTTTAGAAAGGCAAATCAAATATCCAGCAACTTAGGTTTCCAGTAACCTTGAGAATCGCATGCGCATATGCAGTGCATGTTGAACTAAACAAAATACTTATTCTTGTATAAAACGAAATTGGTTTAATTCTAGTATACGGTACCATGGAGGTTAGAATAAAAGAATATGTATTGTTAAGAAGGAAAACTCTGGTACAGGGGTGGCTCCGTTCCGACGTAGAGGGAAACAGCTGCGCATACACGAAGTATCTGTCGCCAAAGCTCGAAGTTCGAAGGGCGTCATTAAGAGTTCATAAACTGAATATTGTTTAAAATTGCTTTAAAGGAAAAGAGAATATTTTTTCGCGTAAGTAAATCAATTAATGAATTAGTTATTTTAAGGGGGAAAAACACTACAAAAATCTGTGGTTTAAATTATTGTGAAAGGTCAAAGAAGAAACTTTTTGTCAAAGAACATTTTTTCTTAACACGTGTTTCCTCAATTTCCTGTACACATTGCAGAGAGGGAAATTCTTGCTGTCAGGTTCTGTCGCCAAATCCCTTGGCAAATTTTACCTCTGCTTTCTAGCAGCATAATAGCATTACATCTATGGAATCTTTCTTTACATAAACGTTTGTTGGTTAGAATAGCCTCCATGTATGGTACATATGGCATTTGGTTACATTATGATGAGCAGTAAATGGGTCATTTTGGTGTTGGTGGCAATTTTCAAAATTGAGCCAAGGCCTTATCGTATATTAGGATTTTACTGCAAAATCTTTTAAACCTTTTTTTTCCCCTTTTTAATAAATGCCTTATTTGTCATTTTGCAGTAAAATAAAATAAAAAAAAATAGTAGTCAGTCATCTAGGCAAACCATTTAATATAACTATATTCGCTAAAATATCATTGATTATTCTAATTCAATTTTTAATAATTATTTTTATTTTTATGTTATTCATATCATTTAATTTTGCTTCTTCCCTCTAAATTTATTTATTATTACTAAACAATACTTCAAATTTCAGGAAATTTTCTCTGGCATAGTCCTGAAATTAATTCTAGCAAAATGATGGCATACCATCACAAAATTTAATGCACATATTTTTTGCTTACGTATGCTGCTAAATAAATGTAAAATACCTGAATTTATTAAAAAATATCATTAAATAGATGTATCTTTCTTTCGTTTAGATATGAAATATCTGCAAAAAAGACATTTTTTAATCCAGATTGGGCAGATTCTAATCTCAATCTTTAGTGGAGAAAACAACTCCTATGCTTTGGAAATAATAGTAATGCTTTGGAAATTATATATATATATATATGGCGAATTTTTTGTGTTTTCAAGTAATGCAATAATTTGCACAGTCAACGTGCATTACACGGATAGACTGGAATTTTCTTAACACACTTGGAAAAGTCGGGCAATTTCATTCTCCTGTCTGAGTGGCAACCCTGTTTAAAATATCTTTGTAGGAACTGTGAACAAAATTATAAAAATCTGATTTAAAGCTAATAAAAAAATGTTTATTACATAACGCCAAAACGTGTTTCTCAGCATAGGACTATATGCAGGTTGCTGTATGAAAATTATTTGGCAGGTGAAAAATGGAAATATATAGTTACAATTGATGAGGCTTGAATATCCTTATCTGATTGCAATAGAAAAAGATCGATTTACTACAAAAAAAGAGGAGAAAAATACTTAATATGTTGGTTCAGAGAAAACAAGGAATGTTTTTCTAAAGGTTTTATTTTTATTACTGGATTCTCTTATAACGGAAAACTTAAAATAAGGAAAGTAGAAAAAAATATCAAAATTAAAATCGGATTAGTATTAGAAATAATGTGTAAACACCTATTTTTAAAGAAGAAATTCCATCTCTATATCCGAACAATCTTCACCGTGCTAAGTTCCATTAGGATAAGGCTCCAAGCCATACCGCTAAATGCACAGCTCTGTTTTTTGAAAAAATGAGAAATGAAACCGGAATTGAAACTAGTCCCTTTAAATGCATCCCTCTCAAGTCCACGATGTGTCTCTTGTGGATTACTGTGCATTTGGACTTTTAAAACAAGCTCTTTATAAGAGGAATCCCAAAACATTGGATGGACTCTAGAAGATTGTGAAGGAGTGGAATGAAATCAGCCTTGATGTTTTAAGAAAAGGACTTTTATCTTGGAAATCAAGATGTAATATGATAGTTCAACAAAAGGCTGTCAAATTGAAGATATTAGAAAATAAAATTCGAAGTTTTGTTTATATATAAATCTTTGTAAAATTGTTACCAAAATATGTGAACACCCCTCTATAGCTATTTTGGCAACATGATGCTTTGCCTTGCTAATACTTCATACCTTTTTCGGTCCAGATGCAGATAATCAGAAAGTACCAAAAAAGGTCTAGCAGCTTTGCCTCTTGAACTTCAGTTGTCTCATCATGTAAGTGCCATAAGCCAAAATATGCACTGATAATAAAGTAAACTGCTTACTAAGGTAGCATAAGGGTTTGAAGACTATGAAGGAAGTGCTTTAAAATCAATTGGGATGTGAAATGACCTGTTTTTATTAATGATGACATAAGTGGTATAACAGAAATGTCTGTTAGCCTCAACAGTAATGCAACCTACTTATAATTCTTTGTTATTTTTAAAATGATTCTGCAAAAGTGATGTTTGGCCAAAGGTGTGAATAAACTTCTGAAGAGAAACGCAAAGTAGGGTACTATAGTTGTCACAAATTGCTGGAAGGCAAGTAATTGTTTTCATGATGAAGATTTTGTATGCCTTTCGGTCAAAGAAATGTAATGTAACATTTAAGGACCAAACTCATTTGAGGAATTGTAGAACTTCAAATAATCTGTGCATTGAACTGACCACATGTGAAGTCATTTCTTTAGAGATGACTGTTGTGGAGAAATGTGTCATGACTTTGATAAGTTTTTACAGAGAGGTATAAAAATTTGTGTATTACATAATTGGTATGACTGCTAGCTCTGGTGGTATTGTTGAAACTAATGAAAGCAAAATAATAATAATGATAAAAGAGTGAACGGAACCTGGATGTTTGGAGGCATTGAAAAGAGGTCTGACAGTTTTTTTTGTTCTTTTGAGTTTGTTGAGGAAGGAATGAAGAAAACTCTTTAGGAAGTTTTTAAGAGAAATGTTAAACAGGATTTTGTAGTTGACTCAATTTGTTGGAATGCGTGCAGTTGTCTTCTTGATGAATGTTTTATATACTTTTCAGTCACTCTTACTCTGACATATAAGGACCTTGTTTCTAGGGCTTAAATAAAGTGGATAGAAGGTTTGTGGAGCTCCATTATGAAACTGGCCACCCATGGTTTTATGTCTGTTGAGTTCAATGTCATGGA